GTCCCTCACCATTTCTCACCCTCCAACACACCTGGTCCCTCACCATATCTCACACTCCAACACACCTGCTCCCTCACCATATCTGATTCCACCCTCGGGCGACTGTCTGTGTGGAATTTGCACGTTCTTCCCATGTCTGTGTGGGTTTCCTCTGGGTGCTCCAGTTTCCTCCCACAGTCCAAAGATGTGCAGGCTGGGGAGGTTGGCCATGGTAAATTGCCCATAGTGTTCAAGCATGTGCAGGCTGGGTGGATTACTCATAGGAAATGTAGGGTTACAGGGATGGGGTGAGGATGTGGGTCTGGGTGGCCAGTTCTTCGGAGGGTCGGTGTGGACTTGATGGGCTGAATGGCCAGCTTCCACACTGTAAGGATTCTATCCTATGAAAACACATCCATGGAAAGGCTTTCTCCTATTTGAGACGTCATACTTGTAGTGTGCAGCAGAAATGTGAGTTGGAAAATAGAAGATACGTAAATGAGTTACACTTATTTCTGTTTTCAATGCTAGAATATTCTTATTCGCTGCTTTGTTGTCTTCAGTACAGTCTCATACAAAATAGAAACTGCTCTTTGTCAACCACAGTTGTAGACCCCTATTCATAAGGCATTATGAATATCTTGAATACAAGGCTGTAATCAAACTAAGCAGTTTTAGTTGCATCATGACCAGCAAGAGAAGCTCAAATGTGAGGTGTTGCATTTAAGTAAGGCAAATCAAGGCAGGACTTGTACACTTAATGGTAAGGTCCTGGGGAGTGTTGTAAAATAAGGAGACTTTGGAGTGTAGGTCATAGTTCATTGAAAGTGAAGTTGCAAGTAGAAAGAATAGTGAAAAAGGTGCTTGGTATGCTTGCTTTTATAGGTCCATGCATTGAGTATAGCTGTTGAGAGTTCATATTGCGGCTGACCGGGTCATTGGTTAAGGCCACTTTTGGAATACTGCATTCAATTCTGGTCTCCCAGGTACAGGAAAGATGTTGTAAAACTGGAAAAGGTTCAGAAAAGATTTATAAAGATGTTGCCGAGACTGGAGGATTTGAGCTATAGGGAGAGGCTGAATAGGCTGGGGCTATTTTCCCCGGAGCATCAGAGGCTAAGGGGTGACTTTCTAAAAGTTTATAAAATCACGAGGGACATGGATAAGGTGAACAGCCAAGGTCTTTTCCCCAGGGTTAGGGGAGTCCAAAACTAAAGAGTATAGGTTTACTGTGAGAGGGGAAAGATTTAAAAGGGACGTAAGGGGCAACTTTTTCATACAGAGGGTTGTGCGTGTATGGAATGAACTGCCAGAGGAATTGGTGGAGGCTGGTACAATTACAACATTTAAAAGGAACCTGGATGGTGATATAAATAGGAAGGGTTTAGAGGGATATGGGCAATGGGTTTAGATTAATTTAGAATATCTGGTCGGCATGGATGAGTTGGATCGAGGGATCCGTTTCCATACTGTACATTTCCCTTACACTCTACAAGTCAGTCCTCCTGGTCTCTCACTACATCTTCTCACTGTCTCACCTGTGCATCCCAATCACAACTTGTTTTTCCTGCCACAAGTAATTCCCCTTCCCAAGGCACACCCACAGTTTGGCATCTGACTTTATCGCAGTCTCTAAGTCCAAGCAATAAACGTAAAGTCTTACCAGACTGTAGAGCTACTCTCTCATTAGAGAGAGACAATTGGTGGTAGTTTAGCCTGAGGACCACCATACTTCAGGCAGGGGAGAGGTTGAGAAGGATCATCCTTCATGGTAAATCAGCCAGTGTGGGAAATGAGCCCATACTGTTGGCATCACTCTGTATCACAATCCAGCTGTCTGGCCAACTGAGCTAAATGACCCCTCAGATTTAATGTCAAGCAGAGAAGCCAGCGACAGTCACCAGTTTGAGGACTGAACCCATAACCTCAGCATTATTAGCACCACACTCTAACCATCTGAGCTAACCAGCCTAATCCAATATTGTCCTAAACAAGCCAATGCATCACCCTGGTTGTTTGTTTTCCACAAGCATAGCAGCCAACCACTCAACTAAAGACAACATGGATGGTAAATGTAAATAACAAAATAACCAGAATATGATCACACAGATAAAGATCACATGGAAAATGTAACACAGTTCTTGCATTTTACACAAGAGAAAAATGCCACCAGTTCGTGACTGTGGTCACAGAGTCTCTTCTAATGAACTAAACGTATCCATGAAACAGCGTGAGTTAAAGTAAACTCCAACCAGAATAAAATTATTGTTCAGACACTGTTTGAACTTACGTCTATGGAAAATACTGTCACCTGAGGTCTTGAAAATGTAA